GTCACCAAAACCACTACTAATGACTTGAAAGCTAAAAAATCAAAATGTCAAACTCAAAGTGTGCGTGTGTGCATCAATTATAAGTATATAACAAATAAAACAATAAAGAGACACAAGTAATTATTGACGCAGAAACCCAACCGGGAAAAACCGTGAGGAACCACTAAAGGTTTACCACTAATCTACTATCTCAAGTTCGATCTACATGTACTCGAATCTTATACCTCAACTAAACCCATAATTAGATGCTCCTTTCTTTCAATTGATCTCTCCACCGAAAGTCCTCTTCGTTATTATGGATAGCTTCACTTGAACTCTCCACTGCCATACGTTGTTAGACTTCGAGCAATTTTCTCCACAACATCCTCGGTATGCACACTTTTCAAAGTGGATTTTGGTTATTCTCCAACCAAGGTCTCCCCTTTCCAATGCGTAAAGTTCGATTAGAGTCTCAAGATGGATTTGTCGTAGTCTCTAAGATCTAGGGTTTGTTCAAAAACTCTCTAGGTATTCAATACGTAGAATTTCTCATAAGAGACTTCTAGAGCTTACCCTAGCATGGGAAGGCTTCCTCTATTTATATGCTCGGAATAGAGTTTGTCTTGGGAATCAAGTAAACTAAAATTCATGAACAACTGCTCGAGCAGTGGGAGGACAGTCAGAGAGCAATTGTCACTAGAATGAAAAAATGATTCAAACAAAAATGGCAGAGCAAGAACCGCTCCAGTGGCCTAAAAGCAACCTAGAAGATAGTCTCTACTGTCCAACTTATTAGCCTTTCCCATTTTATCCCTACATATTCAGAGATCGCTCTAGCCAAAGGCAAGCAAGCAAAGGACAATCCCTACTAATTTTAAAGTCAAAAATAAGCAAAAAATTGTCCCCTTGAACACTAAAAAGTGTTGCTCAAGTAGGTCCAATCAATGTTATCAGAACCGGACCGGTCATTAAACCAGTAAGGAAACTGGGTCAATGATTCACTGGTTCAACTATTGAGTCAACTGGTTGGACTGGTCATATAATAAAAAAATAAAAAATATTATAAATATATTAATAAATTGCACCATTAATCCTCAAGGTTTATCACTTATTGCATTTTAGTCCTTGAGAGATATTTTTGGTATAACCAAACATCATTAATCTTTTATTTGTACAAGCATTAATCATGCCCCAAACATAAGGCTTTCCCTTTTTTTTCCTTTTTGACTTTTCTCTCCCGTTCATTTGTCTAAACTCCAGATCCTACACCGCCACACGTCTTTCGCTCTCAAACCAGTACATCTCTCTCTTTCTAACCCATACATGCATCCTTTTCTCAAACCCTTGCACGCACAACCCCAAAACCCCCGCAGATGACTAACCCTAACAAATCAGATCAAACGATTAAAGGCTGAAGTTGTTGATGGCTGGAATGAAGGAGCAACTCGTCGCCTGAGTAAGAGAGATCACGCTGAGTGGTCGCTTCCTTAGATGTTGTTTGTCACCGGAGTGGTCGAATGAGGGTGAAGTTCAACTACGAAGTTGAAAGTGGTCAGTTGCTGGCAGCACTCTGCGATTGATTTAGGGCAAAATGTCCCAATTAGAGATTATTTTTTTAATACAAAATGATATTCCAACCACTTAATTTGAGAAAACCGTTCGATTCACGAGTTTGGTACAAAATCGGCTAATTTAACAGTTTCAAGACGGTTCGATTCCTTCAAAGGTATAACTAGAGAACCGGATCGGTCTTAGTCCCGGGTCAGGGTTGAACCAGTCTGACAGGCCGGTCCGGTTCGGCCCGGTTCTGATAACACTAGGTCCGATAAATAACTAGATATATCATTTCAAAACACATTTAAGGTTTAGAAAATATTTTTCAATAAAAACCTAATGAGTAATTTCCAGATTTCCCCAATTCCATTTATAACCCTAAACCTCCTAAGTCTGATGAATTAAACCAAGGGTTCTTATGTCTCTACGATCAGTACATTTGTCCTAAGTTTGAAGGTGCATCAGAGTAATCTTGATGCGGTATTATAACTTGATCTCCTTCCCTTCGTTATCACTTACGGATCTTGGTCTTTGAAACTTGATGACCATGAAATTAGGTTGAGAACATAAGATTTCATGAAATTAGGTTGAGGACATAAGATTTCATGAAATTACAAAAATGTTTCTAACGGTGTCCAAATTGCCACCTTATCTAGGAGTGCTTGGAGTTCTCATTTTAGGACAATAAGCACGGACGGAGTTGAAAAGGAACTAGTTGAGGAGACTCGAATTTCTACTAGTGTTAGTGGATCTTCCCCAAGAGAGAAAAACCAAAAGGAAGATTCATGAAAATTTACAACCAAGGAGGGCTTTCACGCATCAAGCTAGTAACATTTAGTTCTAACTTAAGCGTGCAATTTGTGGGGGCTAACCTAAACCCAACCCAAAAATTCAATACTTGGGCATAGATTTTCAATAGTTGGGTTAGGCTTGGGCAAAAAAAATCTCAACCCGATTTCAATTCGGGCAATATGCAATTTGAAGCTTTGAGTTGACCGAGTTCAATGCGAACCTAGACCAATTTACAAAATCAAGTTCAACCCAAAATTTGGCAACAAAACTATACAGGTATATACAAGAATTTAGGGCCTCTACTGGGTTGCACCTCTTATCTCTTCTCATTCTCCTCCAAAGTTCTCCCTCATAGAAACGCATACAAGTATTTCTCTCTCATCATCTACTCTCGTTATGTGCATATATATCTATCTTGATGTATCAATGCACCACCTTCTTTCATTCTCAACCTACTTCCATGTCTCGATGCAAATCTCAAATATGTGGAGCTAAAAGAGAAATACCCGAGTTCAAAATTTTGATAACAAGTTGAGCTCTGGTTAAAGATACTCAAGTTGGGTTGGGCTCGAGTTGAGGGTACCATACGTTGGGTTGAGCCTCGGATAACCTCTCCGCCCGCCTAGCCCACCCATGTTGCACCACCACTCGTTGGTACCTGGTACCTAGTCGGCCAATCCCAAGTCCATATCCGATGAGGGAAAGCTACAGTCTATTTTGAAAAGCCCTCTTAAGAGTTTGTAGTTCCAGTACCTTCTCCATACTTGCTCCATTGGGTTGTGATGGAAGCTACTATGTACTGCCTTCAATCATTTTAAATTTGGCAAGTAATCCTAACCTCAAGACCTCCAAAAGTTTAAGGTCTACTAGTTCAGTTCATCCAGCACCACCACCACAACAAAGCAATAAAAGAGCTACAAGCCTAAGACAGGACCTCCATCCTATGGAAGAACAATACCAACAAAGAACAATATGGAATTCAATGCATCAGAACTGAGCTAATTTCTGCAGTACTAAGTTGTCATTAGACTTGCAACAATATTAATTAGGTTCGAACAAAATGGTATGGCAAGCCATACAATCGACAGCCATTTGCTAAAATGGCAACTACACATAGGATAATGTAAGTAAAGACCCTTTCTATTGTATAGAGTAAAAACAAAAAACAACAAAGATGTCAATACAAAGTCAACAGACGAAAACCCAAAAAACTCAACCTACTTCCTAAACCAATGACCACATTACCCAAAACAAAGAAAAACCAAAAGAAGATTTCACAAGGACAAAACCTACATGGATCAAGTAATAAAACTCTTAAATCTTCCAAGAGCACTAACCAGCGAACTTGATGGTTATATGAGCAGGAAAGCAAATTCAAGATTCAGAACGAAAAAATCGAGAAATAACAATTTCAATTGAACCTGGTATGACATGAGGCAGAATCAATTAAAACTGATGTCACTAATACTTTGTACGTCAACTTACAAACACCTTAAACAATCACTATGTCTTTCTCAATTCAACAGGGCTTATTAACAACAAAACACGGAGACATGACAAGGTTATTCAATGTCCACCACCAAAGATCGCAGCACTGAATCTTAATCAGCTGAGGACAAATATCAGCCGATACCGATACGAGACATATCCAATTCAGCACCTTCTGAGAAGAAACTGACTGCACAACGATAGAATCTTGCCGTTGCTAACCCAAAAAATAAAGTGAACTACCGGCAACAATAAAGCATAACATCAATATCTGACTGGAAAATGGGCGTTAACTCATAAAAAGTGGTATCCTATAGTCATAGTTCATTAATACACAATTTGTGCACAAAAAAAGAATAGAGGAAACAATAAGGTTCGAAACCAAATTCATAAAAAAGAAAATCATATCATCAGATATGGGAAAACAATAGAATAGAGGAAAGAATAAGGTTCAAAATAGAGTTCACAAAGAAAACCATGTCATCAAAGATGGGGGAAGAAAGAGGTTTAAAACAAAATTACAATGAAGCAAATTGATTAGAGACAAAAAAAAATTTCAAATCCACTTCAGAGCAAGGACAATTTAACAAAATTGCCCAAATTCTTCTATTCAGAGCATTAGACAAACAAATCACCCTTCATTTCACAGGCACTATTCTATGTTTTCTCATTAAGTTGTGAGGAAAAAGGCACTTATTATGAAACTCCTGCTCACTTATATATCAGGACATCCAGCACTTTCCTTCCAAGAATGTCACCAGCCAAAGAAGTCTATATCATCTTAGTAGCAAGTTTGAATAGTTAGGCCTTCATGTGGTACTTCCAAGGTATCTTTGACTGATACCTGTTAAACTAATACTTGATATTTTGTGTATTTTGGCAAAAGGCTGAGCTATCAGATAATTCTCGTATAGTGTGTGGAAGAAGGTATTAAAATTCAATAACTCAAAAACTTTCAACCAAGTACAACGCATTATCTTCCTTTGGGTCTAATTAAGGAATTTGAGGGATCCAGTGTTCATACTAAGTTCCTAGTGAACTCTAAACTGGTAGTCGCTGAAGTTAGTGGCTTTGACCAAAAGCATGTGACTTCATCAAGACTTGCTATAACAGAAAACTAATATGTAAATTCATTGCTTGAATCGGCCAAAAATGGAGGAGCACCACATATAGGTTCATCAGAATTATTACCTCTTAGCACGCTTTGGATCAATAAGGGCTAGCTCGGCAAGCTTAGAGGCAGAGATGGATTTCTGAGAATCAGCCAGAGACTGCTCTTCCGTACCCAACGTTAGCATCTCCGGCTTAATTGTAGTCGACCCATCCATGGACTGACTATGTTGATGTCTTACTCTAGGCCTCTCGCAATGGGTAGGGGCCTCATTCTCAGCAGGAGGAGTCGCTGCTGCAGATGCTGGAGCCGGTGATGCTGCAACCGCTGACGAAGATGATTCACCCACTTGTAATACAGAAGTTGCAGACGATGAATTCAACTTTTCCATGTCAAGGTACATAGAGAGCAAATCTTCCTCAGTCTCATCAGAGAACGAAGGTCCTTCAAAGCCGCCCACAAAACCAAGATCACTATCAAAGTTAATGTCATCTGGAAGAGTAAGAATTTCCGAATGGGCACGTCGATGGCCCAAATTCTTTGGCGGGTTGTCAGGCATTTGGCTTATATCATGGCTAAACCAGCTAGAATCCGAAGGCATACCATGACCAAAATGACCAGATTCAGAAATATTACCCCCAGGTCCCAATGCAGGCAGATTCGATGATCCTAGTGGATCAGATTTCACAATAAAACTACTCCCAGGAGATGAAAAAACCGCACACCTTCCTGATGGAGGTAGTAAGCCTCCACCATGGTTTTGAGACTTATCCCTCTCCATCTACCAAAAGCTCCCCTTCTCACAAGCCTCAAGTCTAAAATTTTAATAAAAAAACCAACAATCAATAGTCATGAAACCCTAGAAGCTCAGAAGACAAAGCTCAAAGAAGCCAAAACCCGAGAACTGGCAATAACTTCTCAACAAAGCAAAACCCTCGAAATAAACCACCACCTTAACAAACAGGGTTGCTTTTTCCTTCTAAATAAAAAAAGTGGGTGACCAATAAAACAACTAGAAAGCAGAAGCTACATTCAAATTACGCTAAGGAAGAGCACCAAACCCAGTAATACAAAAGACTGTTTATGAAACTTCTGTATACATGGTACGGCAGGTTTGTCCCGAATCAATTGGCTCTGAAAATAAACCTACAAATAATGAACAAAACAATTCACAACCAATATATAAAAATTTCGGAGAACATTAATAGAAACAAAGAAAATAAGGACCCGATAATTCAATGATTTTGAAAGAAAGCGAGAAATTATTTACACATCAAGAATCGTCAGAAACTCTACGAATCAAAGTTTTTTTTTCATTGTCATCTAAGAATCAAAGATCAAACTGCGGAAAGATGCAAAAAACAAATGAGAAAAATTCTTATACATTTTGCCTTTTCATTCAGATTGGAGCTGCGGAAATGAGAGTCAAGAAAGCGATGAACAGAGAATCGAAATATTTTCATATGCGAATTGAATGGACAAGCCACGTGCTTATTATAGAGAAAGAAGAGATGGAGCTTGGGAGAGATGATACTTATGCCCTAAATGCGTGACCAATATATATGTCGGAAAAGAAGGTTAATCTCACTTTCCACACTAAAAGATATTTTTATTTTAATTTTTATCCTTAAGTATTTTAATTTTTAAATTATACACTCAATATCATAAAAAAGTTGTAATGCGACTCGGATTCAAGTTTCCGTTCACTTCTTCAGCTTCCTAATTTAGGCCACACCACTTACTATAATGGAAAAAGGAATGTTTGGGCTTGGAGTACATTGTAACTGTTTTATGATATGGAAGGTATAATTTTTAAGACTTAAAATTTTTTAAAGAAATAAATTAAAAATTTTAGGATTAATTGCACTAATAGTCCCTGAAGTTTACAACTTATTAAACTTTCGTCCCTAAAGTCTCATTGTATTCAATTTAGTCCTCAAAATTTGGGTTTTAAACCAAAGTTGTCTTTCTCTCCGACTGTCGTCCAAATCTCTAACAAAAAACAAGACCTACACAGCACGTGTAGAAGACAGAAGGGCATCACTATCCTTTTCCCTTATTTTCTTGTCCATCCAACCACCATCAAGTCATGTGTGGTGCACACTGTGAAACATCAAATCGACACTTCAGACGAGGGAAAAGAGACCATCCGTCATTTTTCTAGGGTTCTAAATGAAATTGGGAAAACTGGAGAAATTGGGTTTATAACGCTAAAGTGCATCATCTTCTGAGAATTGAAGGTTGACAACGATGACTGCAATGAGTATCAATTGGAGGATGATTGTTTTATTGAAGATTACGGTAAACATTTAGTATTTTCAATTTGGGTTGAAGATGACGTTTTGCAATTTTGTTTTTCAAAAAATCATATTATGGCAACTGGTTGCATACAAAGAACTATGAATTTTAGTGTGTATCAAAAAGTTGTTGCATGCATGGCTCTACAAAGGAACTAATATAAAACTGATGTTGATGTTATGTTGGTGTAATGGGTCCTTTATGCACTTATATAAAACTCAGTAACATGTGGTCCCCCATTTTTTTGTTTTGTATTGTAGAGAAAGATTTCAAATATATTACTTTAATATTGCACCATAATGGTGAATTCCAAAAGAACTCAAAGATGGTTTATGAGGCGGGTAAGATTAAATACTTCCACCACAAACACCCAGATTACATGTCATTGTTGGTGCTTGACGAAATGGCTAAGCAGTTAGGATACAAATGGGAGATTCTGAAGTATCATTACTATATACCAGGAAAGGACTTGGATTCTGGATTAATTTATTTGTTTTACGACAGACAAGTATTCATTGTCTTCAATACATTGTACCCCAACACTATTGCTAACATTTACATAGAACATCGAACAATCAAGGATGTTATTGATGGCCAAGACTTCACAAAATATTATGTTGAAATGAGACATTCAGTTGTAATTGAGGAGATTAATGAAGATGATGTGGATGTGTTAGATTATAGTCAAGTTACTGAAGTCCTCAAGATAGATTGTTGTAATAGAAAAAATTTGCTAGAGTATTCTGAAGTCAATGCAAGTGGTGATGTTGGAGGAGAAGAATAGAGACTCAATGAAGAAGAAGAACAGAGAGTCAATAGAGAAGAACATAAACTCAATAGAGGAGAAGAACGGAGAGTCAATGAAGGAGAGGACCAGAGAGTCAATGGAAGAGAGAATGACATACCTCAGGAGAGAACTAGGGAGTCAATGGAAAATGACATGCCTCGAGAGAGAACCAGGGAGTTAATCAGGGATAATGACAATTTTGATTATTCTAAGTTTTATGATAGTGAATATGATCTTGATGAGGATGACAGGTTGTATGAGACAAACGTAGATAAAGATGTTGAATGGGTTGGTGTAGGTGATAAGGGTAAGGATGTGAAGGATGATACTTTAGCTTTTTATGGTATAGATGAAGATGATGTGCATTCCGACTATACAGATTCAGATGAATTATGTAGTTTTGATGATTCATCTTCAGAGGATGATGGTGTCAATGTGAGGAAGCCAAAGTTTCCTAAGTTTAGAGCTGCCACTGACATGAAAAACCCATCTTTAAAGCTAGGAATGTTGTTTGGAACAGCTACTGAGTTGAAGGCAGCAGTAAGGGAATATGCAATTAAGGAGGAAAAACAAATAATATTCAAGAAAAATGACCATGTTAGGGTTAGGGTAGTCTGTAAAGGGAAATGTAAGTGGTTGTTATTTGCATCTGTCATGGAAGATGGGAAAACATTCCAGGTTAAAACATTCAATGACAAGCACATATGTGAAAGATCATTTCACAATAAGAATGCAAATTCAACTTGGATTGCTAATACATATGTGGATGATATTAAGAGGAATCCTGCATGCCCATTGGATGCCTTCATAGAGAGGATAATTGAGGATCACCAAATTACTGCAACACCTCATCAGATTTACAGGGCAAAAAGAAAGGCAAAGATAATGATTAAAGGTAGTCATGTAGAGCAGTACTCCAAATTATTTGAGTATGTTGAGGAGGACTAATCCAAACAGTACAATAGCTATAAAATGGATGATTTGTCAGAGTTGGAAGGTGAGCCTAGATTTGAAAGAATGTATATTTGTTTAGATGCACTAAAGAATGGTTTCAAATAGGCAAACAGACCAACAAGGTCCTCATGGTGGTCAGCTTCTCTCAGCAGTGGGACTAGATGCCAACAATAATATGTTCCCAGTAGCATGGTGTGTGGTAGAGATGGAAAGAACAAGCTCATGGTCATGGTTTATAAACCTTCCAGTGAAAGACCTTCAAGTAAGAAACACAATTGGATGGACTATAATGTTTGATAAGCAAAAGGTACATTTAATGTTATCTCTTTTTTTTTATCTAGTCTACATTAAATATTATCATTGAACTGAATTGTATATGATATTGTGTATATAGGGGTTAGAACGTTCAATTTATGAACTGCTTCCAAATGTTGAACATAGACATTGTGTTAGACATTTATACAACAATTTCAGCCAGAAGCACAAGGGTAAAACACTTAAGGATTTAGTTTGGGCTGCTGCAAGATCAAGTTATGTAAACTCGTTTAAAGTGAATATGGAAAAAATGAAAACTGAAGATGCAAAGGCATGTGCATGGTTTGATGATAAACATCCAAGAAATTGGTCTAGGTCCCATTTTAGCACACATCCTAAATGTAACATATTACTTAACAATATGTGTGAATGCTTTAATGCTTACATACTTGGGGCTGGAAACAAACCAATCATATCAATGTTGGAGAGAATTAGAGGTCTCTTCATGAAGAGATTATATATGGAGAGAAATGCAATGGCAAAGTGAGAAGGTGATAAATGTCCCAAAATTCAAGAAATTATAGAGAAAAAACAAGAAAGAGGCTTCTTTTTGCATATCATATTATTCTAGGGGTTCTAAATTTGAAGTTAAACATTGTTATGGTGATCAGTTTATTGTGGGCTTGGATGCCCAAACATGTGCATGCAGAAAATGGGATTTGAGTGGCATTCCTTGTTCTCATGCCATTCAAGCTATTGCATACAAAGGAGATAAACCCGAGAAGTATGTTCATAAGTGGTATCACAAAGAGACGTATATGAATGCTTATGGGAACAATATTAATCCCATTAATGGGAAGAAGTTATGGCCTACATGTATTGAGACTCCCCATTTACCTCCATTTTACCATAAACAACCTGGGAGGCCTAAGACACTAAGAAGAAAGGAACCAGAGGAACGAACCAATTCAAATCCAAATAAGCTGAGAAAGTTCTAGAATTCTTTAAGGTCTGGAAAATGTGGTGTAAGGGGATATAATAAGAGAAGTTGTAGAGTTGATATGATAAATCTAGCCATAGGTTCTGGGACAGGTGTAGGGGAATGTGTTGAGGCTGGTACAAGGGCTACTGCAACTGGTGGAACAAGTGCAAGGACTGCTGCTGCAAGTGTTAATGTAAAAAGAAAGAGAGCCAACAAGGAAGGTGCAAGGACAATGTCAAGTAGAGTGATTGCTGCAGGAGCAAACACAGATTGAGTGATTGGTCCAGGAGCTAGTGTAACCAATGTTTCAAGTAGGAAAGGTAAGTTGGCTGTGAGGAGGAACAAAATGAATGCACCAACCACAACACAAGACTCACATTCTGCAGGAGGAGCTCAGTGACTACTGGTGGAATCCAAGAACTATTGTGTTAGGGTTTAATGTTCTCTATTTTGATAGTACCATCTTTTTGGTAGTGAACATGTTGAATGTAATAGGTTTTTAATGTTTCCTATTTTATGTACTGGCTAATGATAGTAGCATCCTTTTGGAAGTAAACATGTTGAATGTAAAATGTTCTCTTTTGTCACTGAATAGGTTGTGTCCTCAATGCAATTAAACATTATTATGGTGTTTGTTGGATCACTTGATAACAGAACAAAGTTAGGAGACAAAATCAATACCAATTGCACTGACATACAAAATAGATATTAACTTACAACTTGCCAATAAGATACACTTTCTACATTAACAAAGTACAAAACTGGCATCTTAGCAACTACAACACCCATAACCAGCAACTTCATTTTACAATGACATCTGACCAAGTAAGTAGAAGCAAGTGAGTACAAGCAATAACATCCCAGTGAGTACAAGCAAGCGAGTACAACAACTTCATTTTGTTAACATCCATAACCAAGTAAGTACAAGCAACAACCACGCAACTTTCTCTCTCCGTTGAGATTTGGTCAACTTCACTTCTAGTAGTGTGATTTTCCTGAGTAATTCCGGTATGATATTCTTCGATCGCATACACATAGGAGGATTATGCCACACAAAATATCCACACCCACCATTTCGCTACATATTCCAACAAAAATAGGTTAAACAAAGATTGTTGTTAACTTTCATATAATACAATTTCATAAAATTTACCTCATTTCACATCCAAGGAATCTTCTTCCTGGATTTAAATATGTCGAAGACATTAACATTCGAGTCTTTCTCCCACACTTGCAGTACGTCTGATCCATATGGACCTTGGGATAAAACTTGGCTTCGTTCTGTGATGAAGCTTGGCTTGGCTTGCAACTTATCTTCATTCTGTGATGAAGATTGCCTTGGTTCGCCCCATTGAAGGTTGCCTCTATGAGACATATATTAGGGTTCCTCAATCAGATATATATAGTGGGAGAAAAGATAGTTAGATGGGCGGGAAAATAAGGGGAAAAGACAGTGATGCCCTTCTGTCTTCTACACGTGTTGTTTTTCATAAGAGATTTGGACAGTAGTTAAGGAGAAGGACAACTTTGGTTCAAAATCCAAATTTTGAGGACTAAATTGACTAAATTGGGACTTTAGTGATGAAAGTTTAATAAGTTGTAAACTTCAAGGACCATTAGTGCAATTAACCCAAACTTTTAACATCTTTTAAAATATAAAATGCAATAATGATGGGCTAATATGTGTGGGGCTTATTATGGCTCACTAAAGTATGATCTTTTTGCCAAAATGTGGTAGGGAACCACACATTTAGTGGAGACAAGGGAATGATTAGTTATACGAAGCTTTGTCAATATTTGCTTTAATTATAGGGATTTTTCTTGTGGTCATGTCTCTATTGTCACGATTTGCTTGATAATTGAAGAGAGAAAAAATAATCTGACCACAAAAAAAAAAATGAAGAATTACACCCAGATCTCTTGAAGTTTGTCACTTAATTACTCAAATTTCCTGACATTTGAGATATTATATACAGACCCCCTGAAGTTTGTATGCGTGTAATTGTTAGACCTCTACCGTCAAATGTCCGTTAATATAACTATTAGTAAATTATACCCAGACCCCCCTAAAATTTGTAGGCGTAAAATATTTAAACTCTTCAAGTTTAAAATGTTATATTTAGATAAAAAATACTCCAATCAAAGATAAAATATCAAATATTTTAAATTTTACAACTAAAATTTATGTTATATTGTATCATTTATTGAAATAACATTAAAAATAAAATTTTAATTTTTTGCTTAAAAAATCTTAATTAGTATATAATTATACTATCTATTCGAATTAAACTAAAAAATCAAACAAGAGATCTAAGTCATTCATAGTAGAATGTGAATTTTACATCCAAAATTCATATTAAAATCAAAAATAAAAATCTAATTTTTTTAAAAAAAAAATTATAGTTATTATATAATTATACTATATAAGAATAAAATTAAAAAATTAAACAGGGTTGTATTTTGCAACCTGTTTAATATGTTAGTTTTATTCTAATATAGTATAATTATATAATAACTATGATTTTTTTTAAAAAAATTAAATTTTTATTTGTTATTTTAATATGACTTTTATATGTAAAATTCATGTTCTACTATAAATTATTTAGACCCCTTGTTTGATTTTTTAGTTTTATTCTAATAAATAGTATAATTGTACACTAATTACAATTTTTTAAGAAAAAATTAAATTTTTATTTTTAATTTTATTTCAATAAATGATACAATAGAACATAAATTTTGGTTGTAAAATTTAAAATATCTGGTATTATATCTTTGATTGAAGTATTTTTTGTCTAAGTATAATATTTTAAACTTAAGGGGTCTAAGTATTATATACCTACAAACTTTAGGGAGGTCTAAGTATAATTTATTAACTGATATATTTACAGTATGAGTCTAGGTGTTATGCGCGTACAAACCTCAAGGGGTCTGTATGTAATATTTTAAATATCAGAGGTCTAAGTGATTAAGTGACAAACTTTAAGAGGCCTGAATATAATTCTCCCATTATATTTTTGTGTTGTCTTAGATTTCAGCATACATATTTGATTTGGTGCTGCATTAAACTAAGAAAGGGGTTCTTTGGTGACATCTTACTACTCTGGGCATTTAATTTCGTGTTTATATGAAGATGAAGATTCATAAGGTATTATTTTTCCTATTTGTTTACTTCTCCTAAATGTCCATAGTTTAGTACGTTCGTGTATGTTCAGCGAACAAATATCTCCTACTACTTTAGAGTTATGATTTTTTTTTTGGTTCCTCTATTTGTACATTAAACCCAATTCTTATTATTGTTGTTATTATTATTATTATTGTGATAACCGTGCATAGCAAATGATTGCTGATTGAATTGTTAGTTTGATGCTTATTTGGTGTTTAGTTTGTGATTTTTGTTTGCAGGTCTGAGCTTTTGGGATTCAATATGTTCAATGAAATAAAGAAATTACCATGTGAAGGCACAAGAGGCCCCTCACTTCATCTCTAACATGATTGTCCAAGCCAAACTCAACTGTCATGCGATTATGTTAATTAACTATGTTGTCATAGTTGTCTATTAATCCATATATACTGTTTAATTGATAATTCATAATTATGCACACCATATGTCTGTTTTCAGTGTATTAAATTGCCTTTGGCTAGGGTTAGTATTTTTGTTGTGGTTAGTTTTTGACTCTTTGAATGTATTTTTGCCTTTTCTTTTTTGGTTTTGGGTGTTGGTGGGAAGTACCTTGAAGAGTGGTGTTTGTTGAAACCAATCTGTGGTTGTTTGGGCATCTAGATTTAGTTTAATTTGTTCTATATTTTTATTTGGTCTTGAAGTGTTAAAATTGAAGTGAATATGTCTTTAACTAATGTCTTAGCATTCCAGTTACAATTTACAATGGCTTAAGTTGCAATATGATTTTTTTTTCTTTGCATGCATAATGACAGACAGTTTTTGGACTCAATGTGAGTACTCAGAACTCAATACAAGTATTTAGCATTCGTGGGTTTGCGTTTCTATTGGCTTTCCATGTTATTGCCATTGATTTAGTAGTTTCTTTTCTTTTATGATTTGTGTAGGTAACTTTGATTCCATGTTGAACCATTGAGATTCAAATTAGTGGTGAGTTCATATAATTATTTTTGCTATGATATGACTCTTTGAGTTTTTGTTACCTAGTTTTTGTTTTACTGAAAGCTAATTAAGTTAAATAAGCCAAAGCATTGTAGTGGAGGGTTGAAAAAAATCTCCACCAAGGTGCCTACAAGGATTAGATAAGCAAGTTTGTTGTGAAACCTAGGAAAAATTTTAACTTTTTTTGAAAAAAGGGCAAAATGGTAATTTGTCATTATAGCGCGGGTTAAAAAACTGGTATTTTTCTAGACCTCGTGTGATGAAATGGACCTCACATTTGGATTCGCATCGCGAAATCTAGCTGCCCTGTCAATTTTCGTCGAATTTTGAAATAGTCGAGTTTTTTGCATTTTTCGAGGCGAGACGTCTGGTGACCCCCAAAAACGAAATTTTAATAAAAATTTTGAAATTTGAAAAATATTTTAAATAAATTTTATATAAAATATTTTGAGCTTAAACCAGTACAAAATAAATCATTTCGGGGCAAAAACGGACCCGAATCAGAGAGGGACACGTGGTGCGACTCGGGCCAAGTATTGGAAAGTATAAATAGGGGCTAAATCAGATATTTTGCCAAGGATCTCTGCATTTCAGCTGGTTCCAACGTGTGAGAGCAAGAGGGAGAGAAAAAGGGAGAAAACAAATCCTCCTTCGCTGATTCTCGGAGTTCCGTCGCTCGGATCAACTCGGACCAAAAGCGAAAGTTCATCTCCTCGACGAGGGCTACGCGTACGTACCAAAAAGAGTGGATTTCACCGAAGATCCAAGAGGAGACTTTGGGAAAAATCAAAGTTTTGAGGTTGATTTGGTGTTATAGAAGTTCTTACAATTCTATTGAGGTAGGGTTCCCTCCTACCTTGGTTTTATTCTTACCTTAAGTGGGCTTTTAGTGGCTGAAATTGGTTTATATGTGGGCTGTCCAAGGGTTGTCCAAATGGACTATTTTGGTGCTGAAATTGGGGCTGTTTTGTGTACTAATTAGGGACTGTTAAATGACTAAATTTGGGCTGTTAAAGAGCTGATTATTGACTGTTTTTAGGCCATGTTATGGACTGAAATTGTGACTATTTTTGGACTATTTTTGTGGACTGTTTTTAGGCTATTTTGTGGGCTATATACGGACTGTTATATGGTGGTTTGTATGAGCTGTTTTG